TTTGTTTCGTTTCAAGCACAAATGTACTTAAAACGGCGCAAAGCCCATGCAGGGCTTGAACCCATGACTCTGAGATCAAGACCTAAGCTGAGATCAAGAGTTGGATGCTTAACCAGCTGGGCCACCCACGCACCCCTGAGCCATATTTCATAAAAATCTTCCTGGTCACTGTGTGGAAAAGAGAAGCAGGAACCACCAGTTAGGAGGCGACTGCAGTAATTCAGGTGAGAAATGATGAATGCTCAGATAAGGGTAGTCATGGTGACATCAGTGAGAGGTGGTGAGATTCTGGATATTTTGAAAGTAGAGGTGCCAGAATTTACTAATATGGGTAGTGAACTGTGACAGGAAGAGAGAAGTCAAGATAACGTCCAAGATTTCGGCCAGAGGAACTAGAAAGTTGCATTTGTCACTTACAGGGATGGGCAAGCCTGAAGGAGGGGCAGGTTTGGGGGGAGATCAGGCCATTTATCTGTGGTAGGACTCTGGCTAAGTGAACCACTCTGAACCTCGGTTTCTTCATCTGTACAATGGTTATAATAGCTCTCCTGCAGAGTGTGTGGTGCCTAAATGGGGTGTCTCTTGATCAGACGGAGGCCCCCAAATGTGGAGTGATGATTGGGTGGAAGCCGGTGGTGCAGGCAGTGAAATAACTCACCTGAGGCAGAACGAAGGGGAGAGAAGTTTAGTGAACACACCGCAAGGGAGCATCTGGCTGGACAGCAGAAGAGGGGCTATCTACAACAAGGCAGTGGGAGGGGGCCGCTTTTAAGGAGGGAAAGTGAGGAGGTATGGTGACAAGGAGTTTTCCCTTTTTTGGTACCTGTGCCTAGTTGTTATGGGTCAGTTAGGGCCTATGGATATTTCAGGGTGGGTGGCCTGATAGACCTGTCTGTATTCAGCCAAGTGGTCGCTGTGGCCCTTTTGTTTTGTTTTAAGTTTATTTATTTATTTGGGGCAGGGAGGGGTGCAGAGAGAGAAGGAGAGAATCTCAAGCAGGCTCTGCACGCTCAGTGTGGAGCCCCACGTGGGGCTCGAACTCACCAACCATGAGACCGTGACTTGACCAGGAGTTGGATGCTTGACCGACTGAGCCACCCAGGTGCCCCTCACTGTGGCCCTTTTCTGCATGCCATTGCTCAAGCCTGTTTGTCTAAAAGCAGCCTCCAGATAATGGCAGTAAGAAGTGAGCGAGGTCATGAGCTCACAGGATTGGCACATGTGTCGGCCCATGGCCCAAGGATGACACATGACCAGCACATCTCCTCAGGCAGCAACTGGAAGGAGAGGAAGACTGAACCATAAACCTGAACTCGAGCTCCTCTCCCTGCTTCCTCCAGGCAGAAGTGGGAGGGCCTTTCTGACATTGAGGTTTTCTTTCTTCAAGGCCTTCGGTGGTTTTAGAGATGGTGATGATGCTAATGGAGGCTGGTGATGGAATGACGATAACTGTTCCCAAAGCTGTGAAGTTTACAGAATGCTTTCATGGCCATTATCTCTTCTGGGTCCAGAAAGGCAAAACGTGTACCCATTTTATGAAGTAGGTGGATGTGGTATTCAAAAACAAAACAAACCCAGGTTGTCTCTGTATTTCGCTAGCTCATGAAACTTCATTTCATCTTGGGCAAAAGTGAGTGAAGAGGGTCCTAAAGTGGGTGGGAGTGTCACCGAGCTGTGTCCAACTGTCAGATGGACTGTGACCTCACTCCTCCACCCCCGGTGCTCGCCCACGTCCTGCCGTCCTGTTCTCCCTGTTTCGGTCACTCCCTGCTATAGCATGCCTGGCGTGTCTGGGCTGCAGCCTTCCCACTTCTGAGGTCTGGGCAAATGGGTCTCTTACATCGTTCCATTCCAGGTACTCCCAGTTACTGAGACAACAGTGGAGGGGACTAGAGACCAGAAAAATCAATGCGCCGACAGTCACACCCTTAGAAAGCACAGTCTGGGTTCCAACTCTGAAGTCTACACCCGGCAGGAAAAATTCCTGCATGTGCTCCTTCTACTTCTTCCGAGCCAGCTGCCCCCTGCCCTCAACATACCAGGTGCCAGAACACAGCTGTCTCTTCGTTAATCCCCCCACCCAGGCAAGCGGTCCTAGGGTGGGGCTGAACTGGGTGGGGCCGCCGTGTAGGGTCCAGGGAGGCTGTGCCCCTGCAGGCAAATTCAGCCAGAGACTGATTCTGAGCAACAGTTCTGACTGGTGAGAGCTGCTGCCCGGTGGGGTTGGGGGGGATTGGGAAGGTAGGAAGTGTCAGGTCTGGGTGGATCAAGGGGCCTCGGAGGAAAATTTACAATTGCCTAGGGAAGAACTCCTGCAGGGTTGAGACTGAGGATGTGCTTGAGGAGGGGTGGAACTGACTGGGGTGTGTGTGTGTGTGTGTGTGTGTGTGTGTGTGTGTG